AGTAAGTAAGTAAGTAAGTAAGTAAGTAAGTAAGTAAATAAATAAATAAATAAATAAAATCTTAAAAAAAATAAAAGCCTTTAGTAGCTCCCCACTAATTCCCTTCAGTACAGAGACCAACTCCTTAGGACAGGCACCTGGTGATGAGGTTCCTGTTTACTTTTCCAGCCTTGCTTCTCACCACTTCCTCATCCGCTCACATTCTCTGCCTCAGTTGCACTGAGTTGTGCTTCTGCATAATGCTCCTGACAACTAGAGAGTAGTTAGCACAAGGCCCTTCTTCCTGCATAACCCTCCACCTGGCTAACTCTTATATCTTAGCCCTAACTATTCAAAGTGGGTTACTCACCTGCCTGGCCAGACCTTTCAAAGTCCCCCAAATACCTTTCTATAATTCCCCTAATTCGAAGATATTAAAACTCCCTATAGACTTATTAAACTTTCAACTCTTATGAAGACACAGAAAATGTTTTCTTTGTTTGCAGAGTGCCTAAATTTAAAAGTTTTTGTTATAAAAAAAGAATGAATATGATCCTCATAACAGCTGGGAAAGTAGGCAGAGCAGATATTAATATCAATATTTTTATTTTTCATCCTCATTTTGAGTCTGTATATATACTAAATACCCATATGATTTAGAGTGAAGCCGTGGTTCCCCATTTATTAGGCATGTTACTTAACTTCCTTAAGCATTAATGTCTTCATCTTTAACACAAGAAAATTATAGTACCAACTCAAGTAAAGTAATGGGAATTAAATGAGTTAACATCTGTAAAGTACTTTAAATAGTACCTAGCACATAGGAAATGCACTTTTATTTTATGTGTACTTTTATTTACAGGTAATTTAGCACTGTAAAAGAGATTCAATGCCAACGTCAGGATGCTAGTTAAGTGTGATGGCTGTAGGTCTAACTGAAGTCTTAAACACCACAGGGTACTTTTTTGGTAGTCCATCAATAAACTGGTCTTACATTTAAGTGAGCAGTTATTAATGCTTTTTTTCCCTTGAATGCTCTCTCTAGAGACCATTTAGCTCTCACACAAATGACTTTAAAATGCTCTTTGCCTACATTAGGCTTTGCAAATGGGGTGACCAAATGAAGGAAATGCAGATCTTCCTTCCCTGTGGATTTGTGGACTGTCAAAACTCCATCCTGTTCAGGGTGGTTCCTGCCACAGTTTTGAACAACGTAACTGGTCTCACCAGTTTCCAGTACTTGATGTTCCCATTGGGAAATCTGTACCTCGGTGTACATAGGCATTACGTTAGAGATGACTATAACAGAGGAACAAAAGAGAAATCAGCAGAGTATTGCCACATCTAGGAAAGCATCTGAAATTTCCTCATGGGACCCAGTGATGATCTTGTTTTCTTTACTAGAAAGCCTCATTTCAATCTTTCTTTGGTTGCTAAAAGTTAAAGCCACTTTTAATTTTCCATTCCCATTTTTAATCTTAATATTTTCTCACTCACTCTCCTTGCTTATGTTTCCCTTTACTCTTCTGAAAGTGTTCAGATGAGAAATGTGGAAAAGCTAGTGTTGTCCCTACTACTGGGTTTTTTATTTTTTTATTTATTTTTTATTTATGATAGTCAGAGAGAGAGAGAGAGAGAGAGAGGCAGAGACATAGGCAGAGGGAGAAGCAGGCTCCATGCACCGGGAGCCTGACATGGGATTCGATCCCGGGTCCCCAGGATCGCGCCCTGGGCCAAAGGCAGGCGCTAAACCGCTGCGCCACCCAGGGATCCCTACTACTGGGTTTTTAAAAATATTTTATTTAAATTCAATTTGCCAACATACAGTATAGCATCCAGTGCTCATCTCATCATGTGCCCTCCTTAATACCCATCTCCCATTTACCCCATCTCCCCACCCCCCTCCCTTTCAACAATCCTTTGTTTCCTAGAGTTAGGAGTCTCTCATGGTTTGTCTTCCTCTTTAATTTTTTACCATTCAGTTTCTGTCCTTTCACTATTTCTTATATTCTGTATATAAATGAAACCATATGATAATTATCTTTCTCTGATTGACTTACTTCACTCAGCATAATACCCTCCAGTTCCATCCATGTTAAAGTAAATGGTAGCTATTCATCCTTTCTGATGGCTGAGTAATATTCCATTGTATATATAGACCACATCTTTATCCTTCATCTGTTGAAGAACATCATGGCTCCTTTCACAGTTTGGCTATTGTGGACATTGCTGCTATGAACATTGGGGTGCAGGTGTCCCGTCATTTCACTACATCTGTCATTGGGGTAAATACCTGGTAACCTCTAGGGTTTAATACAGAGGTATTATGCAAGTTTTCCACCTTCTACATAAATCCATGAAGGTACCATGCTGAATACGAGGAGCTTCTGAGCTGGGAGCATCCCATAACCCCCACCCAATGACCTTTCCATCAAGACTCTAGACCTATCCTTCTTTTCCTTGGCTCCCATGGGAAGAAGACAGGAAAAGCATGGAGAGGATTGTGGGTTGCTCTTCTTCTATTCATTTCAATTCACTCTGAAGAGTAATAATCAGGTGAAATATCTTTGAGATCATTACTTCAGTTTAGCTCAAGCTACTGATGTGAAACTGGATTTTCCAACACAGTCCTGATAAAAGGAAATACCAGAAAAATCTGGATATCATTCAAGCTCCTCTTCTTTTTGTATTGAGAAATAGAAATTCCTAAACTGACAAATATATAAAAGTTTACCTCTAACGTTGAAACATTTGCAAAGTAAAAAAATACACCATTTTTATTCATTCAAAGATTTTAATAGATTCTATTATCAATATCTTTGAAAGGGTGATCTTATATTGCCCACTGTGTTTTCTCAGGAAAGGCTAATCTTTATTATGAAAGTGTGTCCTTTCTACATTTTTTTCTTTTAATTTTAAGAAGTCCTTTTCTTGAAAAACAAAAACAAAACAGTGAGAATGATACTAGATAACTTACACATACAATTATAACTTGCCTAAATTTACAGTTGACCACACTATGTAGGTTCTAAGTTAGGGGGAAAATTTTGCTGGTTGACAAAATTGAAGAGGGTAAACCATGAATATTAGAGACACCACATGCAGAGTCACTTAGAATTAAGTCTCTTTTTTTACAGCTGTAGACTGAGTTGGACTGTAATCCTTAAGGTCTCCTTGAGTTCAAAATTTTCATAACCTTTGGTTCTTAAAAAATTATCAGAATTTAATCTGAAATTTGGTCAGAACCTTCTGGGAAGCCTCGGAATGACCCTGAGACTCATCACGCTATTTGGCAAGAGTGTGGGGAACTGTGAGCTGCCTTCCAAAGCTAATCTTTTACCTGTCAGACACTATGTGAATGCAACTATAATTACTTTCAGCTCACCCGGTTTCCTCTGCTTTCTACCTACGATGTCTAGAGAGGTGTTTCTCTTGGTAAAAGAGGAAATTCTAGGTATACTCAGCCAAGCCCCCATGCAAACCTTGGTCAGAAACATTCTTGGCTCGGCATAATCTGCAGCAAAGGGATTACCTCTCCTCCTGCCTCAGGCACCTTGACTCTGCACTCATCTGTCTTCTATCTGGTGGTAGAGATTCTACTCTGCAGTTTAAAGAACATAGGCAAATAGAATAAAAAAATTTGAATGTGGTCAGTCTTAGCTACATTGTGGGATACAGCATGGCATACAGTCATAGAGTCACGGGATGAGGTCAGTTTTCTCCAGTCTCTCAAAGGCTTGCTTTCATTATCTATACAGTGAAGATAATAGTGGTACCTACCTGACAGGACTGTCATGAAGATTAAAAGAAATAAGCCATATTGGTACCACTGGCCTTGAGATAAGCACTCATTAAATATTTCCTTCCACTCCGTAGTAGAGTTATGTGGGTGTTCTTTTTATCTTTCTTATTAACTGTAACCTCCCTGAGAGCATGCAACCTTTCTGAGAATATCTGTTTTTAACTCATCTGTGATTTTTCCACTGTTTTGTTAATCTTTTATCCCCAGAGCCTAACATACTGCATGGCACATTGGAGAGATTTGGGACGTATCTGCCAAATTAATGAATAAATGAATTTTGGCCTACCCAACAATTGAGACATTTTAGGCCAAGGGTGCTTCTATTGGAATTTGTTGGCAGAAATGCCCTGAGAATCCTTTCTTACTGGTAGCTTTAAAATGTCCCCTGCCCCTTTCATAAGAAGGTGACCCTTTTTTGCTTCTTTTCCAACGGCAGAAGAGAGCCCAGTGAAAATTTCCAGGCCAGAGATTTTAGGGAGCTACCAATATCTTTATAACATATGATGTTAAAAACAATTGTACATGTGCCCAGAAAACTCTTAAGGCATGAATTCCCGCATCCAGCTTTATTTAGTTTCAGAAATTTAATAAACGAGTAATACAACCTCGTCATTGTTCTTTACAAATTAGAGATCTACAATTAATAGCAGCAAAACAAAAACATCAGCTGTGTTTAATAGGGTGGTGGAGTGTTGTGTCTCACCAAGGAACCCAGCAGCAAGTGGGCATTGGGTTAAGGTTCCAGAGAAGGGATGCAGACCTGTGGCTGGATGATGGCTATTAAATGTCACCAAAGACCACTGAGAAAGGAGGCATGTCCCCAACTGCTGTTTTTCTTTTTCACCATAGCCTCATGCAAACTGCATATACTGTGGAAAATTCAAGTATTATTTGCAAAAAGTGTTAAGGTTCTCAACCCATAAATGATTCAACTGTTCAGGAAATGAAGCCGAATGACAGTTTTTTTTTTAAGTATCAATAACAGAGGAAAACTGTACACTGTGCCTGAGATTTTGAATACCCTTGGAGACCTCAGCTACGTATTTCTCATGCTAGTGAGTACTAATGTTTTAAAGATCATCATTGTCACCTCTGCCCATGTTCATTTTTCTCCTCTCTCCTTCCCACGGGTTAAGGAGGGAACAGTTGTTGTTGCTGCTGTGACAGGTTAAAGATGAGATAGGTGTGAGACTGGAAGCCACACAGGGCTCGTACTTACTGCTCGCTTGGAAGTGAAGAGTTTCTTGACATTGCCTTTGGTGACAGGTCATAGTCGCTGTCTGATCTGTAGAGAAAGGACTCTCTACGCTGGCTGTGCCCAGGAAAGGTGGCATGGAGCACCAACCCAGAGGAAGAGCTGACCTGGGGGTCCAGCGGGCTCCGACCTGGAGAAGGGCCATTTTCCACATCAAAGCTTAAGAGAAAGCAAAAAATTCTGGTCACATAATCATGGAGGAGGACATTCGATGTACATTCATAGAGAACCAAAGTGTGCCAGGCATTTTACATAAAACGTCTGCACTTTATGCAAAATTTTAATCTTCTAAACAACTTTGAGTTGCAATCACTATTACTCTCATTTTGTATGAAGGAAACAGTCCCGCAGAAGTCCAGTCATCATTAGTAAATAGTGGAGGCAGGACTTGAACCCTGGAGCAAAGCCCCATGACCTTTCAGCGGCAAGAACAAATTCAGAATAAGAGCCAACCATAAAATAATTTGGTGATAATAAGCAACTCCAGAGACTGCATCTAACACAGCTCTAGGTGTCAGACACTAAACTATCACTTAAATGAGTCTTCAGAGCTGGGAGACTTCTTCCTGCCATAAATAAACATCACGGTCTCATTAAAGATACAATATGCATATTTCTCAATGTTTCAGGAACAGAGTGCTATCCTGAAAACATTCACTGGCTGATTAGATGGGAGGCCCAGTCTGAGACTTAATATTCATATGCAAGTTTAATCGCAGAAAATGGTTTAATTAATCTGGTAATGCCAAATTACCCTCCAGGGCTGCAGAGCTTTATCTTAGGGTTCTAGCCACTGGCTCCAGCATAGGAGAGACTTTAGGATTTCTAGTTAGTCTGCTCACCCTAAGAAGGTGCCCTCAAGCCCAGATTAGTCGAACAAGGTTTGATCTATGAACACACTGATGGGAGCAGTGGGGATTTAGTCTCTTGTCCTCTCTCCCTATCCTGGTAGCATGTTAGGCACTGTGTCCTTCCCCTGCTCTCCATCATCCTCTATGCATTTGCCCGTGTGCACTACCTCCCTTTGCCTTAAACTGCCAGTAACCGTCTTGCCTACCATTTCTCTAGACCACTCACTGGTCTCCAGCTAAAGCTCTGCAGAAAGGTAATGAAGAAAGTATGAACCTGGGAATGTTCTCTCTTCTAAGCTAGGACCACAATAGTGGGCTTCCTTCATATTCATCCAGCTGCCATCACTTATTTTCACACTCATGGTCATTTCTTTCACTAGTTCTTACAACTTGCTCTCTTGGGGTGAATTTTGCTTATATTTCTTTAGTTTACAAATTGCTTTCTGATCTGTTATTCCACCTACCCTTTAAAACAACCCGATGAAGTATACAGTATGTCCACACTCTACATTTGAGGAAAATGAAGGCTTAGAAAGATTTTAAATACTTGCTCAAGGGTACCTTGAGGTACCTTGTAGGGTGAGTACTGAAAGACGCAAGTCCTCCAATTCATTTCTCTACAATCCCAGCCTTCTCTAATGACAGCCTATCAGCATGACTTGCCGGCTACTTGAGGGCAATTTTTCTTTTGAATTCAAACAAAATTTGCGTTCGGTATGTAGAGAGTCAGTAAGATTACGTGCAGCCTTGACTGTTATCTTGAATGAAGACAGAAGCAGCAAATTACCCTGAAGCTGTAGGTTTCTTTGAAACAGGAAATAAGAAATAACACAATGCAGGGTTATCATGCTTCCCCAGAGACTATTCTGAGAAGCTGCTTTTAGCCAACCTACAAACACCAGGTGTCTGATAAGAAGCAGCAGGTGAGAATCTCTGGTTAAAAGGACAAGAAAGAGCCATAACAATCCAATATGTATTTGGACTTTCTAGGCACCAGTGCATGGATTTTCACAGCAGGCTAATGGTCTGGGATGGGGCTGCCTTTCAAAGACTACAAGCAAGCGGGCAGGTGGGCAATCACTCACATATACCAGCTTGTTTCTTTGCCTGCCTAGAGGTAGAGCTATGTTGTAAGCCAACTACATTGCAGAGAGTGAAAATATAATGAAAGCTGACTTGCAAACTTTCCTTGGGTGAGATCTATACTAGTTGTTCAGCAAAATAAAGAGCTCCTTTGTGGATAAGGACTCCTTTGTGTCACCCAGACCCTGTAGAACTGGTAGGTCCTGACACTGGTTCTGAACTATTCTTCGGGACAAAGAGGGAAGTTCTCAAAAGGTGAACATGACACTACATATAGCTTAAGAGTGGGCATGGGCTTTGAAGTTTCATGTGTACTCCTGTTATTCTTTTAGGATGTATCTGTTCAGCCTTGATGGATATTAAAACACTGAAATACTTTGGTAACAGTTGGCAGCCAGCCGCTGCCCCAGGCCCTCCAGAATTTGCTGGCTCCAGTGACGTACTACAGGGTTGGTGTCTGGAACAGCAGGGGTCTCTAGCTTCAGCACTACCACCTGTGTCCATTTAATTGGTCAGTGCCCATGTGGTGGCAGTCATTAAACATTATGAATGCGTGTGCCTGTGCTAAAATATCAGACACCCATCAAGTGGGTATGCCTACTAAAGTCTTAGAACTTATTCCACCAGGGAGGGTTTCCACCGGGCCTCGTTCTGCCCTATTTTCTGCTTGAGGCATTCCTAGGGGGTGAAACTTTAAGTTCACCAGGCATTACCCTTAACACGGATGTCAAAGGCTTTCTGCCCCAGGGTTAATATATAAGAAGTTTGGTCCTGACAGGTAAGCAGGGACTAGACCCAGACACCAAATCTCTTTCCATGCTGTTCTCGTTTGTTTTTGTTTGGTTTGGTTTGGTTTCTTTACCCTTTACCGTGCCTAAATTCTAAACTCATAGAGGAGCTTGCTGGAATTCAGAAGAATCCAGGGAAGAATTCTGGTGCAAAGAAGCAGTCTTGGTGAAACAAAGGGCCTTTCATATCCCCTGGGGCACTGTTTCAAAGCAACCAACACAGATGTACAACTCAGAAACAAACATGAATCACCAACCAGACACCAGCCCCAGTCACAGCAACATTCACGGGCAGACATCACAATACATCCCGCAGACCCAGGGTGGGAGGAGGGCTGTGGGCTAGGGGAAGACTGGGGACAGACCTAACGAGCAAAATGAATAGACCACACAAACTGAAACACAATTAGGGAGAAAAGGGAATCTGAAATATCAGAAACAGACACACAAATGGGGATAATTTATTTAGAAGGAATTACGTAGGGTAATTTTTTGCGCCTGCCTTCAGGACACACATTTCACCTTTAGACTTCTTTGTAATAAAAAAAAAAATCATTATGACAGTCATCAGTATAACAGTTTTATATATCATCTAAAGCACAGACAACAGAGAAAAAAATACCACTTTTATTAGCAATTTAGTATGTTTCCCTCTGAATAAGTTTTCCTGGAGGCTCGTATTATGATTTTTTGTACCAGTATTTTCATGTACTGCAGTTTCTGGAATTATCATTTTCCATGCCCTGGCACTTAATGGTTCACCCAGAAGCTGTATCATACTTTCTTAAGCACTTTCCTTACTGTTGGCATCGCATTTACGGTCTTAAATAATATCATACTTGATATCTTTGAGCTTATAGCTACTGTAATATTTAGATGAGGTCACTCATAACTTTCAGATAGATTAAGGCAGGATGTCACTCATGAGTTTCTGAATATTTCACTGTACTTCCCTGGAAGGGCTCGTGCACATCCAGCACACGGAGGGAAACAGTAATGCTTTTTTTCTAGGTTCAGAGAAAGTCCCAGAACTGCTCTCTCCCGTCCTGGATTCTGCATGCTGCGCCCCCCCCCCCCCCCATGATGCTGCCTCCTGCTCCCTGCCTTGGCCCATCACCCTGGGCTGAATCAATTGCTCGTTGTTGTCGAAGACAGAATATTTTAACAACTCTCTCCTGCTTTGTAACTAGGGTTCTCGGCCTCTCTGAGGCAGTAGTGGGAGTGGGTAATCTGTGGGTAAGAAGTGGTGCTCCCTGAAATGGCAATGCCTTTCTCACCACTGTCTCTGCTCCTTTACTGAAGCACTTGATCACAGCCCTTTGTACCTCTCCACTTTGTTCTCTATTTAGCTGATTTCCCACTAGATTCCTGTTTCCCAGAGAGAAGGGACCTGATATTACTCATTTCTGTATCCTGGGCATCTGGGCCAGAGCCTTCTAAATGACAGATCCTCAAAAAATGGCAGCTGTGCCAGTGAAAGAATCTTGCGATTTACTGCGAAATGCTTCTCCTCTCCCTTCTTCCTGACTCCTTACTCTCATCTCAGTTCCCACCGAAATGGGTTTCTGCAATCTCTTACGGATGAGTCCATAGAGAGGTGGCAGTGACTTATGCGAGAAGCCTTAGAAGGCGACGATCTAAGAATAAAAGTAAAATCAAAGGAAACAGAACAAATGGAAAGAAACTAAGACACACTGCTGTGTCTTCCCTGAACAAAACAATCTTGTGCAGAAAAATCACTGCCGTGGATATCTGAGATGGTGACATCGTTCCACAAGCACCATAATGGGAAAAATCCTCCTAGGCCAGTCTCAGTTTGCCATCTTCTTATCTCCTTTTTCATGAAAGCCACAGCCTTCTCAGCCCCACGCTTTCTCCGCTGGCAGCTCCCATTCTTAGGGATCTTGCAAAGCCAGGCCCGAACCGGTGCAAAGAGGGAGCCAGCAGATGGCAGAAGACAGCTGAGGCTTCCACCCTTGGCACCTCCCCGCCTCCCCTCGGAGAAGGTGGGGCTGCTCGCCGGCTCCAGGGAGAAAAGTGACTGAGGCCTTATTCATAAGCCCAGGAGGAAAAATCAGGGATAAAGAACAGAACCACAAGGTATACATGAAACCTTTTATTAAACTAAGAGAAGCTCTGCTTCTGAGAATTCAAGCTAAGCCAGGTGATTGCCAATTGTTCCCAGGGCAGTTGTTTCCTGACCCCCAATTGCACGTGCATACCCCAATTTCAGTAACAAAAACTCACAAAACAACCTCGGAGGAGGAATTCCTTTCTGAAGCAGAGGAGACTTTTCTTTTTCAACTTGGCCTGGGGCTTCTGGAGGTGAGTCTCCGACTTATGTTGATAAATGGCCCCATGGTAAAGATGGTGAGCTCTCCAAAAGAGGCTTAGACCCACAGGGCATGGCTCATGGCCATTTGGGGGAAAGTGCCCT